CAGGGCCTCTGCAATGGCTGTTCCCAAAGCTTGGAATGCTTATCCCCACACCTCTGTTTGTCTCATTCCTTGACTTCAGGTTTGCTCGAATGTCACTGAAATGTCATGTGCTCCACGAGGCCAGGCCAACCATCTTTATAAAAATTGCAGACCATACTGGGCATGGTTGCACATGCTTATATCCCAGTACTCTGGGAGGCTGAGGTGGGAGAAGTATACATTTGAGCCCAACCTGAGCAATTTAGCAACCCAGTGACATCCTGCCTCAAAATTTAAAAAGTGCTGGGACTGTAGCTCAATGCAAAGGCCCTGAGCTCAGTCTCCAGTACTGAAAAAAAACTGTAGTCCAATCCCTACCCTAATCTGGCACTCCCAATCCTTCTTGTCCTGCCTTTTCTTTTTCTATAACGCTTATCACTTAACATTACATCTAATGTGTCTTTATTATATCTACCATTCTGTATCTGCCCTGCAAGAACCAAAACCATTCTTGGGACCTCATGTGCTGTGTTCTCGGATGCAGCCCCAGCACACAGATCAGTGGCCAGTGTACAAGGTGTCAGAAGCACCTGCTAAAGGCAGGAAGGGCTTCAGTCATATGGACCACAGGCATGTGGGAAGATAGCTTTATCCCTTCTTATTTTCCAAGGGATCCAAGTTCTAGATGGGGTGGAAGTTTTCACTGGCTCCAGACACACACAAGACAAGAACATCAGGCTGGCATTGACAAACACAGCTCTGAAGTCACAGCACTGAAACCCTGTGAGGCTTCTGCTCCAGGGGAACCACACTTAAATTCACCCCCATCACATGGCTGAAAACCTTTCTCTTCTTTCAGTGGAGCTCACTTAATCTCTCAAATTTTTCCTGTTCATTGGCGTCACCACAGGTGATTCACAAAGTATCAGCAGATTGTGGTAGAACTGCTCTAGGTGCTGCTGGACAGAATAATTTTAATGAATTAATTTTATGAGATGGTCTCTCACTATGTTGCTGAGGTTAGTCTTGAACGTCCAAAGCAATATTCCTGCTTCAGCCTCCTGAGTAGCTGGAACTGCAGACACACACCACTGTGCCTGCCCAGATATGACTTTTAAATCAACTCCAAAGGGACACACAGCCAGGTTGGAGCAGCACCTCTCCTGGACATGCCAGCTGGAGAAGGGATGGGCACACAGGGACTGTTGGGCAATTATGGAGGAGGATGACTAATGCATTGAAAAATGAAGCAAGTTGAGAAATCAGAAGTGACAAAAATAAACTTGAATTCATCATATGCTTCTCTACAAATGAAAAGCCTTACATGTCTTTCTTGCTATGTACAAATAGGGAGTTTTAATCTTGAGATGTTTGGGGAGAAAAATCTGGAGGGAAAAGCTGCAATACAATTTTCAGGCTTCTCTCCCCCGTCCCCACAAGCCAGCTATCTATTTCATTACTAAGCAATTTCAATGCTTTTCTTCTCAGGTGCAGTTCAGGTTAGTAGAGACAGCATTTATGTTTATAATTTTCCTTTCTGTCCTGCCTTGCAGTTGGGTTTCACACTTAACAGAATATACAGTTTCTACTGTTTCTATGGATGGCCTAAAACTAAAACAAGGTTAAAAATTAGGGGAGCCAGGAATTTAGCTCAGTGGTGTCACATCTGCCTGGCAAGTGCAAGGTCCTGAGTTCAATTCCCGGTACTGGAAAAAAAAAGTAGGGATTTAACAGTTGAGCTATTTAGGTGGGTGTGATGGCACATGTCACCCAAGCTAAGAGAGGCTGAGGTAGGATTACTTGACATAATGAGACTCAGTCTCAAAACACACACACACACACACACACACACACACACACACACAGACACTGGGGCTGGGGATTTAGTTCAGTGGTGCTGCTGCCTGCCTTGCAAGCACAAGGTCCCAGTACCAAAACACACATACACACCACCACCACCACCACCACCACCACCACCATCCTCACCCCCAACAACTACTGAGCTACCAAGAAGGGTTTTACTAGTTGCTCTAGATTATTAGTTGAGAGCAAGGAGCACATTTCTGCACCATCTCCAGTACCCTACATGGTGCACTACGCACACAGGCCTTAGTAAACATCTCGTAGCATTATTGTTAATCAAGAACATTTTACATGTGTATTCCATTTTTAGTTTATAAGGTGCTTTTAAAGCTTTTGGAACCTTCTCAAATTCCCTAGCTCTGGTAGAGGCTGCTCTTCCCACCTTCTAGGGGAGGGAAATTAGGCTCAGAGAGGGTAGATGACGCACACATAGGACCCAGAGGTGGCTTCTGGAGAAACTAGGTCTCTCACAGCTTTCTCTACTCTACATAGCAGTAAGAAAAATCATGCCTTAAATCAGATTGAGTCCAGCACTGGGAATATAGTCTGTTCCATTCTAAACAATGTATCTCATGGGAAATAAATTTATTTCTGTGTAAATGATGTGATCACGTAAATTTCCTTAGCATTCCCAACTTGCTTAAAATTCAAATTTCTGAAATCTTTGAACTAGTTCCTCAAAAACCAAATGATGTTTGTAATCATGCTGCTTGGTGCTGTCTAGGGTGGTGATAACTCATGGATCTACTCAGTTACAGACCTCAGGTTCAAGGACAGAGAAATTAAGGCCCGGTGCCTGCGGTCAACATCTTATGAGGCCAAGTGTGATGGTGTAACCTGTAATCCCAGCATTCGAGGATGAGGCAGGAGGATCCCTCCAAATTCAAGGCCAGCCTGGGCTACATGGTGAGACCTTGTCTCAAAACCAAACCAAACCAAACTACCTGGTGAGGACATTGCCAATGACTGTGCTTAGGGGGCTCTGGCATTTCCTCTGAGGACCATGGTACAGTGAAGAGCAGCCCACACACCACACCTGGCACCATCACCTGTCCAAATATGACTGCAGAGCAGACAGCAAATGGATAGATCTGTGTATTTTCTGAGTAAAAAGTATAAATCCTGCACATAACCCCACCCCTCTCCAAATCCTTCACATTATTTAAAAAAATGTAGAAATCAGGCCAGCTGTATCAGCACACACTTGTAATTCCAGCTAGAGAGGCTGAAGCAGGAAGAATTCAAAATTTGAGGCCAGCCTGGGAACCAGTGAGACCTTACATTTTTTATTTTTTTGAGACAGGGTCTCACTATGTAGTTGAGACTGACCTGGAACTATGTAGCCCAGGCTGGTCTCAAACTCACAGCGATCCTCCTACCTCAGCCTTCTGAGTGCTGGGATTACAGGTGTGCACCACCACGCCTGGCTCGAGACCTTACTTCAGAATAAAAAAATAGCTGGGACTGGTGGCACACGCTTGTAATACCAGCATGTGGGAGGCTAGGGCCAGCTTGGACTACCCAGTGAATTCAAGGCCAGCATGAAAACATAAAAGAGGGACTGGGGATGTAGCTCAGTGGTAGTTCCCCTGGGTTTATTTCCACTACAGAAGGGGAGGGGAGAAGGGAAAACAGAAATAAAATGGAATTGTTGGCTGAAGACCTCCAGGATGAAAAGGAACGAGCAGACCACTGTTAACAGTTCCCCAGAGAGGGCCTCAGCCTGTTCCTGGCCCACACAGTTTCTGCGCAGCCCTAGAGTGCTCTGTAGCCACAGGGCTAGGAAGCAACTGATTTTTGTGACAGGATTGTTGCGATTTAGAAATAGACACACGCTGCTTAAATACTTTTATTTTTTAAAAATTATTTGGACATTGATAGCTCTGCAAAATACTTCTCCCAACCCAAACCCTCAAACCATTTCTATGTCCTCCTTAAAGAAACAAAATACTCATATTTTACGCCCATTCAAATCTAATTTTAAAAAACATTTTAAAAATCAAATATTACTTTTCTTTCCCAGAACTTGTTAGTAATTTTAAAACCACAACGCAACATATTTAATGGCATTTCTTTCTTAAAAATTAGCTTATCAGACTATTTTATGAGGAAAAAAATTAATTCAAGGCCTTAAGAGAATATAAACTCCCTGCTTCTGAAAGCAAAAGACATTGGAAACCCCTTTGCTTTCCTGGAGTTTGTGATTTCAGCATCATCAACAGAACCAGCACAGATTGATGTTCTACTTAACATTAGGTATTGTCTAGTTACTTGTGGACTGCAGCTGAAACCCTACACAAATTTTAAAAGGACAAGTGGGTAGAAAGGAGGGACGAGGCTGGGGCCAGCAAAATGGAAGCCTTCTAAGTAGTGGGGTAAGAACCAAACCCTGAAGGATCCCCCCTCATGGCAGGTTTGTTTGGGGTGGAAGAAGACAGTAAGAAACCTGCAAACTGTGTTATCTCTTGACAACGAATACAAATATTCACCAAAAATATTGCACATAGGATCAGAGGCATGTAAACCACTAAGAAGGTTCAGGAAAGAACAAATACATAGGGAGATGATTTCCCCAAGGTCCTTCAGGGACAGAGAGAAAAAGAGTTGGTATTGATTTTGGGCGTTATTAAGAGGAAGTGGAGAAATGCTTAGTCCAACCCCTCTGCTCACTGGGCAGACTTTAGTCAATTTTTATCACAGACATGTGTGAAGGATCTGGTAAAGGTACCATGTTTTCATTTTTTTTTTAGAACTGGTGCACTTAATTACCTAGCTAAGGAGAAAAGGAAGAATCCCTGTAACAGACACCAGCAGTACCTGAAAGTGTCCCTCCATGCCCACTGGTGCACCACTCATTGCTACATACACAGCCACAACACTGGGGATGACCACCTGCTGCTAAGTGGGCTGACATCCCTTGCGGGGCTGGGAAATGCCACTGCCTCCCGATATGCCAGGAGAGGTGAAGGGGATGCAAGTGCCATCTGAGGAAAGCCAGCCTAGCTACATGCCTCCTTTATTCTTCCGGGATATTTCCCAGTTTAATGGAGCAAGGGTGAGCATCTTTTGAGTGTGAACCAGCAGTCTGACCAGAGCCAGACATTCAATGCCTTGTTGAATTTCAGTGGTTTTCTTTTTTGAAGACAAGGTCTCACTAAGTTGCCTGAGCTCCTCAGTGCTAGGACTATGGGCGTGTTATTGTGCCCAGCTTGAATATTAAGAATCAGAAAACATTCTCAATGCATCTCTGGGAATGGATGTGCATTCTTTTCCCACCAAAGTTAGCAGAGTGATTTTTTTAGGGGCTCCAAGCCCTGCCCTCACTGAATGGGTAGGCTGTACCTCTTCATAGTCTCTGGACCAGAAAATTTAGATCTCACAAGTACCCTCTGGCTATTTCCCTGAATTCTGCTCTTTTAACATGTCCCCAATAGCTTGAACCACCAGTGGTACATGCATGGCTGCTCCACTGGGCAGCTTATGCCACAGGTGGCAGAAGTGGAAGTCATGCATGGAACTGTCACGCATGTACCACTGGTGGTTCAAGCCCCCTCAGCAGTGAGACCTGAGTTACGGCCCCATTGTTGAATGTGTTACGGGTTCCTCAACATACAGACTCAGTAACATATAGTACATGTCATGAAAAGGAAAATCACTTAAGAATAAAAATAATTTCCCACCACTCATTTCATCAAAGGGCTTTGCATTTTCTTACATGGCCCATGGAAGTGTAACATGCAGACTGTTCTGTTCCTGTAGTTACAATGTTATCTTTTTTTTTTTTTTTTTTTTTGGAGGTACTGAGGGTGGAACCCAAGGTCCCTCGCATGCTAGGCAAGTGCTCTACCATTGAGCTTATACCCTCAGCCCCAAGCTATCTTGTTTTTAAAGCTTTTATGTTCAGACTATGTCTTGTAAACCACGAGAAAAATGCCAATTCCCCAAAGCCCTGCCTATATTTGTGGGCTACAACTGGTGCCAACCTATTAAGCTTTTAAACATTTAAAAAACAAAAGCAAAGAAAACCGAAACACACACACACACACACACACACACACACACACACACACACACACACACACTTTGGCACGTGAGCCTCAAGTTCATATTTCCCATCCCTCATCCCATCCTGGCATTTCAGTCACTGTTTCTGGAAAATGAAGACCCCTTCTGCCCTGTGGAAAGGTCACCACAAAGCATTGTTTTGAGTAGCAAAAGGAGCAGGTACAAATTCTAAACTGGCCCCAAAAACAGTTCTTGTGTTTAGCACTATAATTTATGTGATGCTGCAAAAGTTCTGTACCAGGAGGACTTATTTCAAAACTGCTGGTTGATTAAATAGACATATACATATACATATAAAAATTACTAAGTCAACATTTGCTGTTTTCAATGTGAAAACGATAAAATGTAATTCTGAATAATTGTGCATTTGCCATAGGGTCCTCGTTAAAGGGACCATAAAAATAATTTTGTAAAAAAACAAACAAACAAACAAACAGACAAACCTATCTCTTATTTTTAAGTTTAGTATTGCCCTCAAGTTCAAAAGTTTGGAGCAAAAGTATTGAGTATGCAGGTTTGGGATCTATTCCTGCCAGGGATCTGGAAGCCTTAAATTTAGTGATCCCGCTGCAGGCCCAGGAACCTGAGAGCCACACCCTAGCCCTGTGTAGTTAAATACTATAGGGCACAGCAGCGCCCAATGAACAAAGACGGATGAGGTCCCACAGAGTCCTGCCTTGTTTCACTGGTGGCAGATGTGGCCGCAGCTGGCCAGTTTCTCTCACAGAGCTCTGGGGGCACAAAGGTGCTGGGGCTCTGCCTTGTCTTGGGCTACCGGATAAACAACTGGGGAGGGGTAAGGGTCTGGGTGGGGACCACTGAGCACCAAGGCTGAGGGTGACCCAGGAGCTGACCTTCTTCTGCTCAGCGGGAGGCAGGGCCGAGGAAGGAACAGGCATTTCAGCAATGTAGAAGTGAGCTGTGCAGGAAGGAAAAGTGCATTTAAGGTAGCCTGGAAACAAATGACGACCAGACTGCCACAGAGTTGGAGGAGGAAGGAAGACAGTCCTCCACCTGCCCCACTGGTTGGCCATTCTCCTTGGATTCTGTGGGTTAACATTCATGCTTTCTGATGCGAGTCTGCTTGTGAAGAAACAGGAACACGACTCTCCTGGTTCTGGCAGGTACACAATTTTCTTGGCCAAGCTCTTTGCTGCCAAGTTCAGTTTTATTTGGTTGATGTTCTGAGCCGATGTCACCGGAATTCATAGATGGGTGCACTGTGTTCAGGAACATGGGTTAGGTTGAGGGACTGATACCTGTGATGAGGAAGAGACAGAATGGGAGATAGTTGGCTGAGCAAAGGATGCTAGAGAATTTCCAAACCAAAGCACATAGCATATCATACTCAGACTGAAATGCTAATTCTTTTTTTTGGTGGGAAGGACAAGGGAACAGGGTCTCACTATGTGCTTAGGGTGCTTAAACTCCAGCCTCAGCAATGTGGGGGTGATGCATGCCTACAATCCCAACACTCAGGAGGCTAAGGCAGGAGGATTGCTGCAAAGTCAAGGTCAGCCTGACTGGAGAGTAAGACCCTGTCTCAAAAAAAAGAAAGAAAGAAAGAGAAAAAACCTCCTGGTTCAAGCAATCCTCTTGTTTTAGCCTTCCCAGTAGCTGGGATGAAGGATGTATACCACTGCACCTCTCTGCTAATTCATTTTATACTTCTCAAGTGAACATAGTTTGATTTTTTCTTTTTCTTCTTTTGTTAATCCTCCTGAACCATAAATAAGAGGAACTGTTTTTACATATTCTATGCTATTCACAGAGGAACTATTCCATGTCTTATAGAAACAGGCTCCTGATAAGCTCTGGGAGAAGATGCAGCCTGAAGCCTGGCCCTCCCTCCCTCTGCTGCTCGGCCTCTCACCTTGTAATGCTTCAGCTGCATCTACAGAACACCAGGCTGAAGTATTCTAAGAGCTTCATGGATAACACGGGAATATCCTAATTTCATGGTACCCAAAAGAATATGGAAAGAATAACTTCACATCTCTCCCTAAACCTTATCTCACAATTCATGTCTATTTTCTTACTTCCCAAGATGTGGTAGTATTAAGCCTGGAGCACAAGACAGGAATCTGAGGTTGTTTCCCCGGCTAGCAGATGCTCTAAAGAGTCACAAAGGAGGGAAAAGTGGACAGTTCACATGTGGGGAGGACAGACCCAGCCTGGGTACATTCAGTCAATGACTGAGGAGGTTAGCTTTTCTCTGTTCATTTTACAAAGTGAGGAAGAACAAAGGAAAAGCAATTTATTTCTTATCTTAAAAAAGGGCTGGAGGCTGGAGGTGGTGGCGCACGCCTGTAATCCCAATACTCAGGAGGCTGAGGTAGGAGGATCATCCCAAATTTGAGAACAGCCTGGGCTATATAATGAGTTCAAGGTCACTTTGAACTATATAGTGAGACACTGTCTTATCAAAACAAAGGAAGGGGGGCAGGGGATTTAGCTCAGTGGTTCTGCGGCCTGCTTGCCTGCTTTGCAAGCTCAAGGTCAGTACAAAAAAAAAAAGAAACAAACAAAATAAAGGGAAGGGGATATAGCTCAATGGTACAGCACTTGCTTACATTTGATCCATAGTACCCCCTCCAAAAAAATCAGGAATATATGCATTGGCCATCAGGAATTTGCAAATTGAAACTATAATGAAATACTACTTCATGCCTTCTTAGGCAGCTGTAACTATAAAGACATGGTAACAAGTGTTAAGAGGATGTGGAGAAGGGCCAGGGATTTAGCTCAGTGGTAATGCACCTGCCTCTCAAGTGCAAGGTCCTGAGTTTGATTCGCAGTACTAAAAATAAAATTAAATTTAAAAAAATAAATTTTAAAAAAGAGAAAGAAAAGAAAAGAGGATGTGGAGAAATTGAAGCTTTCAGATTCTGCTAGTGGGAAAAAATGGTGTAGCCACTATGGAAAAAGAAGTTGGCGGCTCCTCAGAACATTAAATATAGAATCACTGTATGACCCAGCAATCTCACTTCTAGGTATATCCCCAAAGGAAATGAAACCAGGGACTCAGAAACTTGTTCACAGCATGTTCACAGCAGCATTATTCACAAAAGCCCAAAGATGGAAACTATCCAGGTGTCCATTAACTAATGAATAAATAAAACGTTGTATATACATCCAATGCGAACTTGGTAAAAAAAAAAAAATGAAGTTTTGATATATACACTACAGCATGGACAAACCCTCAAAATATTATGCTAGGCAAAAGATGACAAGGATAAAGGTCCCATGTTGTAGAACACTATTTATTCAAAATACCCAGAACAGGCAAATCTATATATAGCAAAAGAAGATTAGTTTGCTTAAAGCTGGGAGGGGATGCAGGGTAGGGTGATGGATAAGGAGAATGGGATTTCCTCATCTGGTGATAAAAATATTCTAGACTAAGGGTGTAGGTCAATAGTAGAGTGCTTGCCAAGCATGTGTGAGGCTTTGGGTTTGATTCTCAGCACTGCAAAAAATAAAAAAAAATTTTAAGTAGATATTAATATTCTACAGACCACTGACATTTACTTTAAATAAGTGAATTGTATGGAATGCAGTAATATCTCAAAAAAGCTGCCATTTACTAAAACGGATTCTGGAAATTATAAAAATCCACTTGAAAAAGAACAATTATTGAAAGTCTACTACTGTATTATGGTAACAGCATTGGATCACCCAGAAGTTACTAAAGATGAAAAATTTGAAAGGAAATAGTGTTTCTACCTTCTGAGAGGAAATTGGATGTTTTATGACATGGTTCCCCCCAGGTACAGCAAACTTCTTAAATAAGCAGCAAAGAGGCCCCCAAAAGGCAGCAAGATGTAAGGATTTGAGGTTGCCTTCTGTCCTTCACTGGGGATATACACTGGCAGGATGGTCAACTCACACTGTCCCAGACATCAGCCCAGAATCAAGTACCTGTGCAACGAGTGTTGCCTGCCAACAGCAAAATTCACACTGTTCCCAACAAGATTAAATTACACTTTAGTGACTGATTTTTTCTTTCTTTCTTTCTTTTTTTTTTGTACTGGGGATTGAACTCAGGACCTTGCACTTGCCAGGCAGGTATGGTGCCACTGAGCTAAATCCCTGGCCCAAGTGATTGATTAAATTTAGGAGGAATGGCTGGGCGTGGTGGCGCACGCCTGTAATCCCAGCACTTGGGAGGCTGAGGCAGGAGGTTTGCTGTGAGTTCAAGACCAGCCTGGGCTACATAATGAGCTCCAGGTCAGTCTCCACTACATAGTGAGACCCTCAAAAAAAAAAAAAAAAAAATCCCCCCCAAAAAATTTAGGAGGAATGAATTCAAAACCAGCAAGACTGAGATAAATCTTCGCTGAAAGTACATATTGCTTTTAAATATTTAATGGGAGTACTCAGTGGTAAAATGTTTGTCTAGCAGGCACAAGGCCCTGGGTAGTTTCATCCCCAGAAGTACAAAAAAAAAAAAAAAAGAGGAGGAGGAGAAGATGATCTCTTTGTCCAAAACTTCATTTCATTTACTTGGCTCTGTAGATAGGAACCCCTATTCTGAGCAGATGAAGTGATTAAATGAAGTGATTTAACTAGGGTCTCAGCACCCAAATAAAAACCAAGATATCTATAAAGGCAGGCTGAGAGGTTTTCTCTTGGGCTTGATTAGCTAAAGGAAAACCAGGGGGGTAACCACCCTCTTCTACGTCCCTGGCCACTGGGGTTCTCACCATTCTGAACTCCGATGGTAGTAGTAGCCCTCTATGGAAGCTGCTGACTTCTGAAAGCAGATGTAATAGAAGCCGGCAAAGGAAGCACCGCTGATGTCTTTGATTGTGTGATCTGGAACCAGGAACTGCTCCTGTGCAGATAAAGGATTCGTCAGGAACAGGTGTGTTTCTGGAACACCCTTAGGCCTCTCTGCTAAGCACCAGGAGACTCTAAAGGCCACTTGAGAAAAAACAAAACAAAACAAAACAAAAAACACGTGGTCTTATCCAGACTTGCTGGGTGGCAGCATTCCTCTGGGTCTCAGCCTGACTTCCAGATAGCACTCTTGTGATAGGGAAGCATTGTACATGATAAAGTAGCGCATTATGTCACGAGTTAACCAGGACCAGCAACTCAGAGAAGCCACTGGCCCAAACATCTAATACATAAGTCAATACCTGCCTATCTGCCCATCTACCTTTTAGAGGCCACAGACAGAATGACCTGGGAAGAGTAAGTTTCTGCACCAGTTCCCAGGGGCTACCCCTGAACTCTTGATTACCTTTGGGAGAGTAAATCCCTTCTGTTTGCCTGTGGATTGTTCCATGGGATGATTAATTGCCAGGATCCCAATGACACCCCTCCAAAAGCTCTACACCTCCTCAAAGCAATCAGAGTGGTACTACTCTGCCACCTGTGCTGGCACCAAATGTTAAAGGCCATGTATTTGCTTCTATTCTCTATTGGATCAGCAGCCCTTAGGGCCAACCAAAGGCCCACCTGAGACACCCTGAGAAATGTTTTGGAGACAAATAACTCCACTGTTTTAATTTTAAATTTTTTTCCTTTTTATGGTGCCGAGAGGCAAACCTAGGGCATTAAAGCATGCTAGGCAAGCAATCTACCACTGAGCTACACCCATGGCCTCCCAAAATTGTTTTTCAAGTCATTCCTCTTCCCCTTATTAAAGCTCTAAAATTATAGTTTTAAATTGAATTGAATTTAGAGCTGGCAGTGTAGCTAAGTGGTAGAGCATTTGCTTGTCTACAATGTATAAGACCCTGGGTTTGATCTCCAGCACTGGGAAAAAAATTAATTTAAAAAATAGAACAGACCAATCTCCCTAATGAACATAGATGCAAAAATCCTCAATAAGATACTGGCAAACAGAATACAGAGGGTCATCAAGAAGATCACACATCCTGACCAAGTTGGATTTATTCCAGAGTGCAAGGATGGTTCAACATACGTAAATCAATAAATGTAATACATTATATTAACAGAGTCAAGGAAAGAAACCATATGATCATCTCAATAAATGCAGAAAAAGCATTTGACAAAATGTAACACCAAGTCATGATAAAAACCCTGAAGAAAATTGAATAATGGTCTTTATCTCAACTTGATAAAGGCTATTTATAAAAAACCAAAGCCAACATCATATTAAATGGCCAAAAATTGAAAACCTTCACGTTAAGATCAGGAACTAGACAAGGATGTCCACTATCACCATTCCTGTTCAATATAGTTCTGGAAACAGCCACAGCAATTAGACATGAGAAAGAAATTAAAGCAATAAAGATAGGAAAGGAAGAAGATAACTGTCATTATTTGCTGATGATATGATACTCCACAAAAAAGACCCAAATAACTCTGCCAAAAGACTTCTAGACTTAAACAACACTTTCAACAGAGTAGCTGGATACAAGGTCAACACTCAAAAACCAATAGCCTTCTTGTACACAAATAAGACTCACTGAGAGAGAAATTAAGAGAAACAATTCCTTTCACAATAACATCCAAAAAATGAAGTATCTAGGAATCAATCTAAAGAAGGAAGCAAAAGACCTCTACACTGAAAACTACAGCACTCAGAAAAAGAGATTGAAGAGGATATAAGAAAATGGAAAGATATCCCCTGCTCCTGGGTAGGAAGACTCAACATAGTGAAAATGGCCATACTACCAAAACTGCTATACAGATTCAATGCAATTCTGATTAAAATTCCAACGGTATATTTCACAGAACTAGAGAAAATAATCCAAAAATTTATTTGGAACAAGAAGAGACCTGGAATAGCAAAAGCAATTCTACGCAACAGAGACATGGCAGGGGGATCAAAATCCCCAACTTGAAACTATACTACAAAGTCACTGTAATTAAAAAACAGCATGGTACTGGCAAAGAAAAAGACCTGAGGATCAGTGGAAAAGATTGGAAGATACAGAAACATCTCAAGATGTACTCAGCTACTCCATCTTTGACAAAGGAGCCAACCATCCTCAGAAGGAGAGAGCCTCTTTAATAAATTGTGCTGGAAAAACTTGGATTTCAACCTGCCAAAGATTAAAACTAGGCCCTTATCTTTCATCATGCACTAAACTAAAATCCAAGTGGATTAAAGATCTAAATATTAAAACAGAAACACTAAACTTGCTGGAAGATAAATTAGGCAGAACTCTTGAAGACATTGGAATAGGAAAAGACTTTATGAACAAATTCTCAGTAGCACGGGAACTAGCACAAAGAATCAAAAACTGGGATCTCATCTTATTAAAAGGCTTCTGCAATTCAAGAGAAACCACCAATAGAGCTAAGAGACAACCTACAATATGGGAAAAACATTTTGCCAGCTGCTCCTCAAAGGACTACTTTCTAGAATATATAAAAAACTCAAAAAAAACACCGGCCCTCCCAAATATAAAGATCCAATTGAAAAATGGCATCTAAAATGAACAGACATTTCTCAGAAAAAGAAAAGCAGCAAATAAATATATGAAGAAATGTTCAATATCACTGGTCATTTGAGAGATGCAGATGAAAACAACACTAAAATTCCACCTTACCCCACAAAGAATGGCTGCTATCAAGAAATCAACCAATAACAAATGTCAGCAGGGTTGTGGACAGAAAGAAACCCTTCTCCATTGTTGGTGGGAGTGCAGATTGGTGCAACCACTGTGGAAATCAATATGGAGATACCTCAAAGAATTAGGATTAGAGGTTCCATTTGACCCAGGTATCCTTTAATTCTAAAAGAATTAAAACAGTCATACCACAGTGATATATATGTACCCATGTTTATAGTGGCACAGTCTGTAATAGCTAAAACTTGGAAATAATCCAATTGCCCATCAATTGGAGACTGAATAAAGATGTGGTTTTTCTATAAAATGGAGCACTACTCAGCCATAAAGAATGAGAAACTAGAGTCATTCATAGGAAAATGGATGCATAGTGAGGCCATACTCTTAAGTGAAACAAATAAGACAAACGTGTAAATACTGAATAGTTTCTCTGGTGTGAAAAACTAAAAGTGTAAATAAGATCAAAATTATATAACTGACAATGTGAAATAGGAAGAAAAGGGCTAACAGTGTAGGGGGAGTGGGAAGGGTAGGGGAAAGGAAATAAGGGAAAAGAAAAAATATAAGAAAAGGAAAAAATGGAAGCAAAGTCTTTGTAAATAGGGGAGGATGGAGGGGGCGAAGGGAGGGCAGGGATACGGGGAAAAATGAGAACAAAGATCTGTCATGTGAAGGTACAAGATCCCAATGATGAATGTAACTTAAAAGTATCAATAAACTCAATGAAAAATAAATAAATGAATAATAAAAAAATAGAACAGGATACTTCCCTGAAGGGTTTAGCTGGCATGTTTAAAAAAATTTCTTTTCCATTAAGTTTGTCGGTACATTTTAGGTATACAATACAATTACATTCATCATTGGGATCTTGTACCTTTACATGATGTACCTTGGTTCTTATCTTTCCCCATACCCCTGCCCTCCCTTCACCCCCTCCACCCTCCCCTATTTACAAAGACTTTGTTTCCATTTTTTCCTTTTCTCATATTATTTCTTTTCCCTTCTTTCCTTTCCCAGTTGGCATGCTTTCTACAGAAGACAAGGTGAGAGGGTAAGGCTCAGAATCTGGCAAGACTCTACTGCAGGTGTGATGATCCCCACCCCTAAGTGATTAGCTATACAAAGTAAAGATGGGGAATGACTACTCTAGAGGATTTGTCTTAATGAAAGCAGGCAAGATTTCATGCTAAAACAGATTTCTTCTTACTGATTTGGTACTGAGGTTTGAAGGTGGGTGAAGGTTCACTTACAAAACCCACTCCATGATTTGATATCCTGTGGCTATGAATATCATGCTATCAGAGCACAAAGTACAGAGGACCCTTGAGGCAAAGGCCAGGCCATTGAGTTAACCTGATGGAGCTCTCTGAGGATTGGTGAGGGGAAAACCCACATTCCATTCCTGATCCTTCATTTCCTGCTGTGGGAAGCAGAAGGCCCTGGAGAAAGGATGTGGTAGAGAAGACTAATCATTCTGATGGCATTTCAGCCTGTGGTGGGAACAGCATGCAGTGGATGACTAAGTTCAAAGAAAGTCGTCCTGAATCCACTTAGCATTTGTATGATTCAATATGGAGGTTCAAAGGGACTCTTGGGTGGGAGAAGACAAGGGGAAGATGCAAACAACACTTTCAGGGGTACCCACGTGGGCACAGATTCAACTGCTGACCTCTAAGCAGTATAACCAGACAAGCTGGTTGGGATAACCAAAGTGTGTGCTCTGGACTATGCTTGCTCTGAACAAGTATGTAAAGCCCTTGCCAGGAAGATGAACTGGGAAAAACAGGGGACACAGGGAGCCCCTAGTTGGGAGATGTACAGTTGTGGGAGCATACATTACAGGAGCTGGTATGTGGGAGTCTTGGAAGACAGCTTGGGCAGGACCTTACCTTCCACCTCATGAAGACATAATCCCCACTCTTCAGCTCTTCATAATCAAAGTCATCTGAATTAAATGATTTTGCATACTGATAAAAAGCCAGAAACTTGCCCTAAAAGCAAAATATAGAGTAGGACAATTGGTCAACAGAGGGAGTGACTAGAGTCAGAATTCATGGCTCCTGATAAGAGCAACAATTACTGAGAAATGGTGAGGGAGCCTATGGTAACCCCAGTGGACACAGACCTGAATTTGGAGCAGATAACTGGACTCGAGCTGAGACCCCAATGGACTATGCCTGTCCAATGAATACAACCCAGAAAAGGCCAAAGGGTAGGAACAGATGCTATCCCAGGGGCCTTTTCTCTGAATACCTCCCTACAAACACATGAAAGCCAAGAATAATTAACGAGAACTCTGTAAGTAAACCCACAGGAGCAATAAGAGCCATGCAGAACCACACAGAAAAGAGCTCGCCTAGCCACAGAGGAAAGAGACTGTAGAGCTTGGTCTTTTGGCACAATAAGGGGTTTGGGCCAGCTACTTGGGTAGAAATAGGTAACATAAGGCTAAGTTTAAAAAGGAGGCATATGCCGGTTGTGATGGTACATACCTGTAATCCCAGTACTTGGGAGGCTGAGGCAGGAAGTTAGAGGACAGCCTGGGCTACATAGTAAGTCTAGGGCAGCCTAGGCTACATAGTGAGTTCAAGGTCAGTCTGAACTACATAGAGAGACCCTGCCTCAAAACAATCAAAAAGTAGACTAGAAGCCAGGGATGGTAGCATGTTCCAGCTACTCACAAGGCTAAAAAATGAAAACCACTTGAGCCCAGGGAATTTCAGGTCAGTCAGCTTAGGCAACATAGCAAGACCTCATCTTAAAAAAAAAAGATCAGAAACAGGTTATAAAACTTCATCTTATCTCATTTTTGTAAAAAGGCAAAAGAAAGTACATAAGTCATTCTTCAATATCTGCAGATATCTGCTTGCTAGACAAGCATTCTACCACTGAGCTAAATCCCCAGCCCTCTCCCATATATTTTAAATAATCTATTTAGACTATCTATAATATCTAATGTAATGCAAATGCTATGCACCTAAGTTGTTATATTATTTAGGAAATAATGACCAAAAAAAGCATACAGCTGGATGTGGTGACACACGCCTGCAATCTCAGCACTCTGGTGTAGGCTGAGGCAGGAGGACTGTAAGTTTGAGTTCAGCCTGGGCAACTGAATAACATGGCAAGATCTTCTCTCAAAAATTAAAAATAGGGCCAGGGATTTAGCTCAGTGGTTCCACCACCTGCCTTGCAAGCCCAAGGACCTGAGTTCGATCCCTGGTACCGAAAAAAAAATTAAAAACAAAAAGTATGCTAGGGATATAGCTTAGTATAATAACCTTCAATTACCACCACCACCACACACACACGTGCACGCACAAAATTTCTCTACATATTTAATACAGATGAAAATTTTCTCCCAAATATTTTTGATCTACAGTTGGCTGAATTCATCAACTCAGAAACCACATAATACAGAAGGCCAACCATATATACCCAAAAGAGATTCCAGAAAAGGTCAATAACTGTTGCAGCTTTACACATTATCACTGTAGACAAATTTTCCCTCTAATTATTCTGTCATTTCAAACAGTTTTAAATAAGCATGTATTAATTTTGTTAAAAAACAAAAAATAGTGATGAAAGTTTAAGGTGGTAAATATACTAATTATCCTGAGTTAATCATTACCCAATATATATACATGAGTCAAAATGTCACAATGAGGCTTGGAGTGTAGCTCGGTGATAGAGCTCTTCCCTAGCATGTGTGAGGCCCTGGGTTCCAACCCCAGTACAGCGCGCGCGCACACACACACACACACACACACACACACACACACATCATATTGTACCTCATGAATATGTATAAACATTTGGTTTTGATCAAAACATTAAAATGAATTCATTAAAAAAAAATCAGGTCCTTGGTTCAATTCACCATAAATACACACAAAATCAAGATATATACATTTGAGGGGTGTTTTTGTTTTTGTTTTGTTTGGGTACCAGGGATTGAACTCAGGACCTTATGCTTCAAAGGCAGGTAGTGGAATCACTGAGATAAATCTCCAGCCCCTAGGGGGTTTGTTTTTGAGACAAGGTCTCACTATGTAGTTGAGGCTGGATTTGAACTCACTACGGAGCCCAGAGTGGGCTCAAAATTGTGGTGATCCTCCTGCCTCAGCCTCCTGAGCGCTGGGACTATCGGTGTGTGCCACCATGCCTTACTAAGATATAGAGATATTAAGTCACAAAATTTACACACATATATTCTAAACAGACTATATATGTAGACTCTTGAGTTTATAGTATCACTATAATACCAACTTTAAATATCACTCAAGAAAATTTGAGAGTGTAATACCATGTCTCTGATTCTAATTTACAATGGAAAAATGATACCAGAGGTAAAGATTATCACACACTGTGAACCTCAGACAAATAAGGTGCAGTAAGGAGCTCCAGGAGTCCTACATAGGGATCTGGGTCTTCTCTATGAGTTAAGAGAGTCTTGGGAAATGCTGAAGACTGGATAGCAGGCAGAAGTATTGGAGAAGCAAACATCCTGGGGGCCCAGCTCCCTCATCCTACCACACTTGACAGGCTGAAGTTACAGGAGCCTCCATCATTTCTCTCTCCCCCTCCCAATCTCCCTCCCTCTCAGCAATGTACTTCAGAAGAGCCTTGATTTGTATCCTGGGCTGGCCCTGAACTCACGGTGGTCCTCCTGCCTCAGCCTCCTGAGCACTGAGACTACAGGCGTGTGCCACCACTTCCTCATCCTTCTTGTACCCCAAACATTTCAATCTAGTCTAATGAAGGCTAGAGTCTCTGATGTAGTCCAATGTTCTACTGAAAGCCAGGGGGAAAATTAGGAGATGATGCTTTCAGATATTAATCTGCAGGTGCCCTAACCTAACACCAAGTTGTTACTGGGTCTCACAGACTTTGGCTTTGGCAGGGTCAACTTGAAATGGCAAATAAAACTGCCTGGTTCACTCTGAAGAAGAACTTTACACTGGGGCTGTCCTGGAGAGGAAGGAACCACTTGATGATATACATATGGTGGGGACAGGGTAGTACAGGTAGCACCCAGGAGCCTTCTTACTCTGATTCTGACACCATCATGTGCCACTGGGGCTATCCCAGCTTTTGCTACTTAGATCTTGCTCATTCTCTTGTATTATAAAGACACAAATGACTAAGTTTTGATGTATATTTGCTATTATAGACAAAACATGTAGCTTTCAGGAAAATGTTTTTAAAACCTCAAATTTTTTTGGGGGGGGGACCGGGGATTGAACTCAGGTCCTTGTGCTTGCAAGGCAGGCCACTGAACCACTGAGCTAAATCCCTGGCCTAAAACCTCAAATTTATATTTAACTGAAACCCGGTATTTTCAAAACATTAATAAGCACAATAGCCATACTAAGGCTGACAAGAGTCTGCAGCAGATCTCTCACACAGGGAGTGGTGCTGGCATCAGAAGGCTTTAGACAGCCAGATATAAGGAGTAGCAGGAATAATAATGAGTTCTAAAACCTTCTTTATAGACACAGCCATTTCTTTACAGAAGGAATTTCTCCATGTTAAACAAAAATTGTCACCATGGTTGACTAGGCTGTTACGATAGGTTGAGAAACAGATTTCTGAAGACATAAGACTTGAGTGAAACCAGGGAAAAGACCCTAGCACAGTTACTCTTAAGTTGTCTTGAAGTATTCACTACTAGGGAGTGAGAACACTCCATGCTTGACAGTTGAAAAAAGGGGCAACTGGAGTTTTCAGTGATGTCTAAATGATATGGTGAGAGGCACAAAAGAGGCAATGTGGTCCTGCCCTTACTGGGTATATGTGAGCAGTATTTCCATCTCAGGCCAATCCAAGGTCAGTGACACAATTTCCCCAAGTAGAGGTGACTAAGAAGGAATAGTGGATAGACAAATGGGAAGGATGGAGATATTGCTATGGTTCTGAAAGCTATGGAAATTGTGAGTGGAACTCAGGGAGTTGCTATTACCAGATAACTACATGCTATTTAAGAGGAGGATCAGGCAGTATGAGAACTCGCTTCAAAAGGAAGACAGAGTAATGGAGGTTTATGTGTAGGAAATAACTTCCCTTTGGTTGCAGAGTCCTCAATAACTCCCAGTAAGGGATGAGGTGTCTGGCTCCTGGCACTTCTCAGTTCTCAGAAGTGTCTGGATACCCACAGCAGGGCAGAGCCTCACTCACCCAGTGTTTCCGATCAACATCTTCGTCTGCATCCCACTTGCGTGTTAAAAAAGGGTGTTTTCTGCTGATTATTTCTCCTTCGAAGAAAGTTGTAAGGGTTGGATATTCCTGTGGTAAAGAGCAAATATCAAAATGAGGTGCTGAATGACAGTCTTTTTGGGAGTGTGTATTTGTGTGTGTGTTCATGCACTTATGTGCAACACTTGGGATGGAACTCAGGACCTCCTACATACTGAGCAATTGCTATACCAGTGACCAGCTCACTTTAACCTCTTAAAAAGATAGAATCAAGCTACTTTACCTTATCCCCAGTGCTTTGAGACAAAACTGATCACATGGTTAATAATCCAAACCAGAGTTAGAGCCAGGTTGTGGAAATAAACCTGAATTTAAATGGCCTAGATAGTGGAAGTAAACTCTGCATATTCTAACATACAAAGCAAATCACAACTTAGTAGACTGCACTTTCTAAGGAGTATACCCAACAATACCCAAAACCACAATTTCTCTCTAAAACCTCAGACCAGCCCTCCAGTTCTCAAACTATAGCCCCTTTATATCTGTCCATTTTATATCAATTCTTGAAGTTTCCAGGGTTGGGAAAAGGGGGCGTTTAATTTAGAAATACCTTAGATGTGCTAGAGATACATTTAATTCTATCCTATGAATTATGAACAATTTATGTGAGGGAAATAGGTAAGTCATGTCAATATTAAATCTCAACCATTAAAATAATGCTGTTTTTAAAAATAAGCTATCATTCACTGCTTGGAATACTGCTAATTTTATTTGCCATTTGTACATGTACCAATAAACAGGTACCAAACATTTATAGAAAAAGTAATGGGAGAAAAACTTAACACCATTAAAAAGTTTTCCTTTTATTCACATTTACCAAAACCAACTTACCAACCAAATAATTCCTTGTTTGTCTGAGGCTTTGAGGTTTCTCAAGAGCACGGTTTACCAGTGACTGGCCTAGGAAACACAAAGTCCATGGGACTACAGAGGTCCTACTTCTTCCTCCAGACTCTATGTAAGCACTTTTTTTCCTCCCAGAACTGGAAATGGAACCTGTGGGTGCTCTACCACTGAGCTACATCTCTAGCCCTTTTTAAATTAACTAATTAGTTAATTAATTTTTCAGTAATGGGGATCAAACTGAGGATCTTGCCAGGCAGGCATCAAATGTATTTAAAAAATATCCATGCTGATGGCTTTGCCACTGCTCTCAGCTTGGCCTGCACTTAGCTCAGGACTTTCCTGAGAGGCACTGCCTCAGTACCCTCTTGGCTCAAGGGCTCTGGGAAACACAATACTGCCACCACGCCTGAGGTGACTAAAGATGCCTGCTATATTTTTTTAAAGTCTGTACATGCTTGGTACTGACTGTGTGTGTGTGTGTGTGTGTGTGTAAATTTTTTTCTACAGGGGATTCAACCCAGGCCCTTCTCACTAAGCTACATCCCTAGCCATGTATGTATGAATTATTTGATAGGATGGTCACTAAGTTGCTAAGTATCCTAGGCTGGGCTTGAATTTGAAATCTACTTGCTTCAGTCTCCAAGACTGCGGGTATTACAGGTGTGCACCACCACACCTGGCTGGAAACCTAATTTTTAAGGAAGATGCTAAGTTATACTGATCTATCTTTAGGAAGAATACTAAGAGAAAAAGTTTTATGTAAGCCAGCACCTGACTTGAAATTGTAAACTAGAAGCTACATGTATTGTTTTCCTGAGTTTTGAGTTTTAATCATTTTTCAAAACTCCTACCACAGAAGAACAAAGTGGTCCTAAATATAATTGCAATACTTATAGTTTAAACTAAACCACTAGCTTTCCCAAGGAATAATTCTGCACTGACTTCTCTCCAAAATACTTTAGTCAGTATATCAGCATGACCAGAAGGTACCTCAAAGAAATCTAAGAATTAATAAAATAAATGCCTAGTGAATGAGATTTAGTATGTACAGAAATCACCAAGAAGACAAAATATTTGTCAGGGCTGGCACAGGAAACTAAAGCATTTGACTACAGTTTAGCTAAATTGGGGGGTTACATGGCAGCAGAAGGAAAACTATTAGAAAAACAAGCCAGAGGTAGGTAGCTGTAGTCAGCCAGGACTCCCCACCCCTGACACTCACTGTCCCAGGGCAGGTATGGGCTTCACCCACTGAAGTCATCAATTATATCCTCTCACTGATTCCAGGCACACCCCGAACTGTACGATAATAGCTACATTGGCTTTTCATACAGACCTGTCTTCTGAGAAGTTTAAATCTATTTGGCTAGTAAGTCAATGGGAATTTCTAGAATAGGCAAAGACCTCATTCTGAGAGTGAACACACACAGTGGTCATACATTGGTCTCTCCTGAGTTTGGTTATTGTGACTGGTCTCCGTGTTTTCAAACAAATCTAGCACAACTTCATGGAGCTCCTAACCCATCTAAGGACTCAGTGGAGGACTTGGCCATGAATCCCCAAGGCTGGGCTTCCAGATACTAGCCAGCTGCTGAGCTCCTGGAAAAGGGATCTCTTACAGCTCAGAAATACAGCACAAAGAAAATGTTATTTAAGACCTATTCTTTACAATTCTGGAATTTCATGTTTAAAAGGTACACAAACCTTAAAGTTGTGCTTTGTGAATGTGAGACAAATTATGTCCAACTTAGTTTTTAATAGTACACATTGAACACATAAGAATGACAACTACTATGATAAAACCCAAATCTCTTACTTGATTTAATTCAAATACATTGCACAGTTGATATTTTAACAATTTTAAATGAGAAAGCAAAGAAAATAAATACAGCAGGTATAAAATTTATTCAAAGATTCATAATGCTTTTCTATATTTTACTATTTATATCAACCATAGGTTAGATATATGATTTTAAATTATAGTGAATAGTTGTACAACTCTATAAATATACCCAAAACTAATAAATTATACATTTTACTTATCTAGCTATCTATCTGTATTTGGTGCTAGGGATGGAACCCAAGGCCTCTCACTTGCTAGGCAAGTGCTTTGCCACTCAGCTATATCCCCAACCACTGCAATTGTATAATTTTAAGTGGGTGAATCATACTGAACCCAGCCATATGGTCCTTTTTGTTTGTTTTTGTTTTTTTGCAACAGGGTTTCACTATGTAGTTGAGACTGACCTGGAACTCATTATGTAGCCCAAGGTGGTCTCGAACTCACAATGATCCTCCTGCCTCAGCCTCCTAAGTGCTGGGATTACAGGCACGCTCCTAAAAAGTTATTTTAAAAGAATTCTAATATCCTGAGATCTGGGCAGGACCTAGGAATCCCAGAAAACACAGGGCTGTAACTAAATGACTGGCAGCAGCATCACTGAGCCCATGTTGGTCTGGTGCGGATCACCTCTGGGGAAGACATATGCCCATCAAGGCTACTCTACTTGAAGACCATGAACAGGAGAGGAGTGAGAGTCTCCATGGTTCTGTTAGGAGCCCAGGACAATCCCACAGGACAGCCCCCATGAAGGAAGCCCAACTGCTGATCATACCTTGGAGGGGCTTCCCTTAGTAAGAGCAGCCTACTCCCAATAATTAGCATTTCTGCACACTCTTTCAAGATGTCTAATGCAACTTACCATTTCCGTGCAGCAGCCTATAGCCCAAATGACAGGGTCTGGAGTTAGTGTTTGCACTACACATTTTGCTGGTTTCCTTATGAAGTTAAATGACTATGCTCTGTACTCCGTTAACAAATGCATTTGGATGCCTTAAGAGTTGAGCATATTGTATTTTACTATGTTTTCTCCTAAGACAAACCCAAAGGTTAGAATCCTTTACTTTGCTATCATTTTCTACCCCTTCCTGCCTAGATATGTTTGTAGAAGTGAAGATAATAACTTCTATCTCAACAACAAAAGTTTATAGGGAGCCCTCAATCTAGCTTCTAACATAGAAAAGTAGGAGGAAGACTGGGGGTGTGGCTCAGTGGTAGAACACAAGACTCTGGCTCTTTTTATTATTATTGTCATCATCATCATTATTATTTTTATTTCAAGACAAAGTCTAACTAAAACTAAAACTAGCCATGCTAGTTTTGAACTTGTGATCCTGCCTCAGATTCCTGAGTAGCTGGGATTAGAGACGTGGGATTAGAGACACAACTAGCCACAGCACATTTTAAATTCTCAAATGAGGAAATGGAAGAGAAATGAGAAGTCACAGAATTGGTAAGGGGCAGAATGAGAATGTTGCAGCTCCATCCAGCACAGCCCAGTCCTGCTGGGTCACTAATATCAGAAGTGATGGGCCACAGGACACTGCAGCAGGGTTATGCCCATACACCCACAGCAGAGCTCAGCAACCAATTCAGTTCCCTCCGTCCTCTTCCTGTTTACCACTAATGGAAAAGAAGGGATGCTCCTTGACTTTAGAATCTCAGAAGTTCTGAGGTCGGAAGAGTTTGGTCAAAGGAAGGAAAATGCTCTTACACAGACCACCAGGTTGGAAACCCGACAGTCATTTTTCATTGTTGTGATGAGCTATTGGATGTAACGAACTTCTCGTATATGACGCTTAGCTCACATTGTTTAACTTATGATAAGAGAGGCCATATTCCTATCTACATTTTTTTATCTCACAAAAGGATTAACACTCAAACCAACAGTGTTGGTCACATTGTGACATGTTTACAAACTTCTTTAGATTTGTGAAGGGGAAGGTTGTAGCTCATTGGTAGAGTACATGCTTAGCATGCATGAGGTCCTGGGTTCCATCCTCAGCACCAAGGGGGAAAAATTTTGGTGGATGTGCTACTTTCCACAAGGACACATCAAATCTGCATGCTTTATGCTCCTGATTTAACAATGCTTAAAACATCATTGGCATTGTCTGTCCTCCACTCTCTGGGACTGTAGTATGGACCACCCACCTCCTGGTTCTGGTTCATGTCACTAGTACTTACCTCAGTAAGGCCTTTAATCTTCAGGTACCCACAAAGGTAAGAGTTCCCTGTGTCCACGTGCTGAAAGAAGACACAGAGACTGTTACAAATGGATGAACCAGCTGAGGGCCAGTGGGGGTACTGTGGAAATTGTACAAGGCCAGGCTACGTCAGGAAGGCCTAGTGGTCAGTGTACACCCAGGTCAGCCCAAGGTTCTCTCAGCCTTGAGAACCTTCACAAGTCTTCCTTGTATACATGCCTGTTCTGATGATGCAAACTGATCCCAGGACTCTCAACTTTTTTCAGCTGTATAATATCTTGAGACTTAAGCCCACTAAAACTTTATACTGTCTTAAACAGAAGTCTCCCACTTATCTATACTTGGTGTGTTACTGGACACAAGATCTCTCCTCTACCGGCACACACGGTGGTATCCCTAACCCCAGGCTTGACTTTCTTTCTAACATGTTCTAGGCTACATCTATTTTCCGGATATTCAACCACTGGTTTAAGATATCTACTGCTGCCCTATTATTTATACTAAGCACCATCATGCATTCTTTCTTTATGAAATGAGCAGAATATTCAAGAACAGCACTTTATTGGGCTGGGGATTTAGCCCAGTGGTGTCATTTGTGTCTGTCTCAGAACGGCAAGGTCATAAGTTTGATCCCTGGTAAAGGGGTGGGGTGGGGGACCACAATGGACAGAGAGCATTTTCTTTTTTTTTTTGGTACTGGTGATTGAACTCAGGTCCTTGCACTTGCAAGGCAGGCCACCAAACCTCTGAGCTAAATCCCTGGCCCCAGAGAGCATTTTCTAAAGATTGATGTGGTATAATTTTTACTTATAAACCAAAACTCTGACTATACTGTGAATGTTTTCTCTGTCCATTTCATATACAGATGTTTGTATTTCTTAGTTAAAAGAATCAGGAGCTAAAAATAGGAATAACAGGAATAGTAGATTTTGAGGCTTAGCAGCCACCAATTATTGGTTGCTGAGGCATTGCCAATGCCTACAACCAATGTCTTCTTTCCCACATTGGCAGGGCTTGGATTTTGCTCTGGCACCTACCCTGCCCAGTAAGACATGGTCAACCCTGATGGATTTCAGGCAGGTATAGACACCCATCTCCTGGAGAGTCATTGGTTTAGGGGAGAAGTGACCGAGTTCTAGCCAATGAGGAATGTGTATCTCCTGGGTGAGCCTCCAGGGACGGATCTCTGGTGTTTGAAGAGGCATGAGAGGAAGAAATGACTCTTTTCCTTCCCCAGGTAGTGGTAGTATCAGCACATAATATCCAGGCCTAAGGCAGCTATCAGAAAATCAGGAGAAGAAACAGGTAAGGAAGTGCTGAGGATGGCAGACCAGAAAAATGGAAGTGGGGTTATCACAGGCTCTTTAACTAACCAAGCTAGACCCACATCACCTTTGAACTCCTTGTAATATGAGGTAATAGGATCAATTATTCTGTTAGCTATTTTGAAATGCATAATATGGTTCCTTGCAGATGAAACCATATTCATTAGTACATTTCACCCAAATCTTTAGACATCTTGAACAGGCAGTTTCCAACCCATGACTTAAAATGAATCTGTCATGAATTTAGAAACTCTGTCTACTAATATATGAATTCAAGCAAAGAAAAAGTTCAGTGGTACCTGTAGCACACATATTTTTATGTTAAGTGAGGTCATTTTAGGAAACTAGAAAGGTTTTGTGGCATTTATTAGATTTGGAAATGTGACTACTCCAGTTACACCATAAATCAAATACTAAGGTAGTCTTTAAAAGCTGTAATGAACTTAGTCAGCCAGATGATGTCAGCACCAAAGAAATCTGGCTTCCACGAAGCTAAAGCTTGGTGCTGGTGACAAGGGTATTCCATGCAAAAACTGCCAAAGTATTTCAGATGTCCTCATCTGCTGACCTTGGCCTTGAACATGATGGCAAACAGCTGATCCACACTAACATGGCTCAGCAAAGAACTTTTATTAAAGGACATATAGTTCTAACCTGAGGCTTTAAATTTCATGTACACAATTCTCATTGAATTCACTTAAATTTGGGGTTTAATAGTTCCCAAAAAGGGTATTAGGTGGCAGGAATACCTGCTAACAAGATTAAAACTTGTACTGTAAATTGGCTTGAATTTGCATGGATTATTACATTCTTAAGAATCAGAATTTCTGTTTGGCCTCTGTTCAACCATCTCTTCCATCCTGCCCAAACTGATCTTGATGATAGCTGGTGAACTTAAATTACCTCATATTGTACACAGCTTTAAGGAAATGAGGGGCCAACATCTCAATGAGAAAGATAACAAGGCAAATGTTTAGCAAGAAGGTCTCACAGCACAGCTGTGTCCAACAGCTGCTCTTTTTAATGTTCCTTTCACAGGGACCCAGGCATCACTCTGCTGTTGGCTTCTGGGGTGGTAGAAGAGTAAAGAGTAGTCACAGTAATGGGGGGTGACCAAGTCAAAACCCCAGAAAGGTTTGAGAAAATTTTTCCAGCTGAATATTAAAACAGAAAGTGTAAATAAATCACATGAACAGATGCACATCATGAAAACACACCAGGGAAATTCAAATTAACAACCATAATAAGATACTACTTCAGACTCACCAAGATGGCTACAAACAAAAGATGAACAGCGAGTGTTAGCAAGAATGTGGAGAAAGTGGAACCTTGATATGTTGCTGTTGGAAATGTAGAACAAAGCAGCCACTTTAGAAATCACTGGTACTTGAAATATTGAACAGAGAGTTATCATACAACTCAGCAATTCTACTAGTAAGTATCTACCCAAGAAAAGTGAAAGCACATATCCATGTAAAAACTTGTATATAAACTAGATGTGGTATGTACCTGTAGTCCCAGCATTCAGGAGGCTGAGGTGGGGGGATCACTTCAGTCCACATATTCACTGAGCTTGGGCAATGCAAGTGACATCTCCAAAACAGATACATACAAATGGGCTGGGGATTTAGCTCAGTGGTTCCACCGCCTGCCTTGCAAGTGCAAGGACCTGAGTTCAGTCCCCAGTACAAAAAACAACAACAACAACAACAAAACCCACAAATGTTCACAGCATTATTCATGATAGCCAAAAAGTGACAAAAAAGGCCCAAATATCTATAAGCTGATCAATGGATTAATAAAATGCATATCCATACAATGACAATAGTTACAATGAACAACACAATAAAAGGAATGATATGGATGAATCTTGAAAATACTATGCTTAAAGAAGCCAATCACAAAAGAATAAATACTGTATGCTTTTATTTATATGAAATAGCCAGATTAGGCACATTTTTTAAAAAAGAGAGAAAATATTAGCAGTTGCCTAGGATTTGAGGTGGGTGACAGCTAAGGGATATGAAAGTTTCTTTTTGGGGTGATAAAAATGTTCTAAAATTGGGTTGTGGTGATGCACAGCTCTGTAAATACAATACAAACTACTCAGTGTACACCTTGAATATCTTAATTATACTCTGGGAGATTGAGGCAGGAAGACAGAAAATTGGGCAATTTATTAATTTAATAAGACCCTGTCTCAAAATAAAAAAAAAGGCTGAAGATGTAGCTGAGTGCAAAGGCTCAATCTCCAGTACCACACACAAAAATAAACGAACAATATGGTATGTGAATTACACCTCAATAAAGGTGCTTACAAGGAAGGACAGAAAGGAGGAAGCTGAGTTATGAAAGACGAGATATAGTCGATGAAAGCTGAGTTTAAGAAACTAGTCCTAGCTGAAAATCCAGATGATGGGGCAATTCACATGCCTTTGACCAGGTACAGTGCTGAAAATGAACAAGGAGCTCACCTATCCAGATGTAGGGCAGCATTCCTTGGCATGACCACCACCTCCACCATGTCTACTTAAGTAGCTTTCAGCCATTGGCTAGGTTTCTGCTCTGGGCTGCCTGACACCTACCAGATGTGATCCAACTCAATCACTGCTTCTACTGGTTCACAAGGAGACTAGGACCTGACAAGAGTTCACAACACACTAATGACAGAAGGGAGTAGTTGCAGTAACCAAGGCAGACTTCCCTTTAATGCTTACTACCCTACTGCACCAGAAGAGGTACAAATTCAGGACAATTCCAAACATGACCCA